CCACCATCACCACCACTACTGTCACCGCCACCACCACTATACCACCGCAACCATCGCCACTACACCACCACTACCACCACCACCACCGCTGCCACCATACCACCGCAACAATCATCGCCGCCACCACCACCATACCACCGCAACCACCACCGCCACCACACCACCACCACTACCACCGCCGCCGCCACCACCACCATACCACCGCAACCACCGCCGCCACCACCAATACCACCACCACCACTGCTGCCACCATACCACCGCAACCATCGTCGCCTCCACCACCACCACCACCATACCACCGCAACAACCACCGCCACCACACCACCACCACTACCATCACCGTCGTCACCGCCACCACGACCATACCACCGCAATCACCGCCGTCGCCGCCGCCATGACCATACCACCACAACCACCGTCGCCGCCACTACCACCATACCACCGCAACCACCACCACCACCACTACCACCACCGTCATACCACCACCAGTTATTATTATTGTTATTATTATATAACAAATAACACCACTACCACTACACCACCACCACCACCACCACCACCACCACCACTATACCACCACCATCACTACCATACCACCATAATATTTTTGATATATTATTAGTTATTTTTTATTATATTTTAAATTATTATTATATATTATTATACATGTTGCAATATTCTAAATAAAATAATTAAAATGTTTAATTATACAATTCTACTCATTTTTCAGAAAATGAACCAAACACACCAAAACAGTTTTCCAGAATGCAACCAAACACTGGAAAGGAAAATATTTTCCGAAAAATGACCCATTTTCCAGAAAACATATTCCAGAAGTCATTTTCCTGCTTTCCAAACAGACCCTTAATTAAATTTCTAAAAAAAAAAAACAGTCTACATATATAAAATCAAAATTAGATAATATGATTGCTAACTCAATATAATAAGATTATTATATTAAATTGTTTTTTGGAGTAAGATTCAAATAGTATAATTAAACATAATTTTTTGAATATTATAGTTTTATGATTTCAGTTTTTATTTATTTTTCAATATATAATAAGCCATTTTAAAATAGTAATGATACAAATATAGTAAAAGTACATTATTTGTGTATTGAATGTACATTAGTTTATATATTATCAAATAATGTACCGTTAATAAATAAATAATGTACATTTAATATATTAAAAATGAAAAAATGCCAAATTAGCCCCCTAAGTCAAGTGGATAGTGCAATTGAGCGTCCTAAGTGAAAAAACTTCATTCAAGTCCCCTAAATATGTAAAATTGTTCAATTAAGTCCAATTTGACTTGTTTATCATGTTAAATTGATGCGGTGTTAACACGTGTCATTTTTATTTTATTTTTTTAAATAAATGTTTTTTATTTATTAAAAATATTATTTATTATAAATTAATTAATTAAATTAAAAAAAAAAAAAAAAAAAAAAAAGAACAGCCACTAGCTGTCTTCTTCACGGACAACCGTGGTTGTCACGGTTGTCTGGCAGGACGGCCACTGTCGTCTAAGGAAGACGGTCATGGCCGACGAAGAAAGACGGCCATGGTCGCCTTCTAGATCTGGAACGAGGGCTACGGCCTTGGCCGCTGCCCTCATTTCAATCGCATCCAAGCTTCGCCGGAGGACCATTCACTCACGATGCTCCCATGCTAATCCCCTGCTGAGCCGTTCGAACGAGAGGGTGAGGGAGACGAAGATCAGCTGTCAAAGATGCCGGAGGAAGTCGTCGGTGAAGGCCTAGGCGAGTCCAGACTACTGTACACGCGGGTCCGAGAAGGAGATCGGAAGAAGCTACACCAAGCTGGAGGTCGCTGGTGTCGTCACTGTCCACTGCCGCTACTTCATTGGGAAGAACATGGGTTGCCGGATCTGTTGGTCCTGAGCCGTTTCGCCATCGGGAAGAACAAAGATCGGACTGGAACGAGGGTGGCGGCCAAGGTCGTAGCCCACATTCTAGATCTAGAAGACGGCTATGGCCATCTTCCTTTGTCGGCCATGGCCGTCCTGCCGGACAGTCACGACTGTCCGTGAAGAAGACATCCAGTAGCTGTTTTTTATTTAATTAATTTATTTATTTATAATAAATAATATTTTTAATTTTTAATAAATAAAAACATTTATTTTAAAAAATAAAATAAAAAAGATACGTGTCAACACCGCATCGATTTAACCTGATAAACAAGTCAAATTGAACTTAATTGAACAATTTTACCAATTTAGGGGACTTGAATGAAGTTTTTTCACTTAGAGAACCTAATTGCACTATCTACTTAATTTAGGAGGCCAATTTGACACTTTTTATTTATTTATTTATTAAAAGTATATGAAGTACTTTTTGTTTATGATTCACAAAAGAATTTATCCCGCTATGAAGGAGCTAGGCTTCGGACAATGACTAGAATGTGCGGTCAACAAGCCCCAAATTCCCAATATGTGTCGTATTTTTTTTTTTTTTTACAACAATATGTAAAACTCATTTTGGAGTTGCGTTTTTGGTGTATATTTTTTTTCGTGTATTTCTGTAAAACGCAAGAGGTAGTTGCATTTACGTATTCGTATACGTAAAACGCATTACGCTCTTGCGTTTTCCAACGCATACGGTATCCCCCAAAACGCAACTTTTGCGTTTTACGTATTATACGTAAAACGCAAAACTAAGTTGCGTTTTTGACTTTTTTTTGTATCGGCCTCTCCGGCGAATTTGAAGGACGGCAAGAACCACAAAACGCAAGTCGCATTAATTGTGCAAGGACTTTTTTCACAATCACCACGCTGAACCAATTGTGCAACACCACATTCTATTAATATTTGTCTTTTTAAGTATACTTAAATAGCCGATGAACAGTAAACAAAACGAACTACCGGCGCTGGAACCGCCTATAAAACGCAAGTGGTTTTAGCGTTTTAACGTTTTATTCAAATAACGCAATTCGGTCTTGCGTTTTTGTAAATTTCTCCGGCGAAATACGCTGATAAACACAACGCATTTTGGTCTTGCGTTTTACGTATTTTCAAGTATAATACGTAAAATGCATCTCCCAATTGCGTTTTAACGTATTCAATTAAGATGAAAACGCATCTGGGAGATGCGTTTTTCGTATACAATACGAAAAACGCAACTACCAGTTGCGTTTTAAGTATTTAACGAAAAAAAATACGAATTAAATACCTTCAAAAATGCAACTGGTAATAGAGTTTTGTATATTTTTATCAAAAAAAATCAGCACACATTTTGACAATTTCTCACCCCATTCTACACATTCTAGTCATTGATCCGCTAGGCTTCTGCTGGCTAGCTTTGACCCGTCATGCATCGTCCATCTGTTTTCACGGCTCTAGAACGGTCAAGCCTACAGCCAGCCATATAGTTTAGGTGATGTGTTTCTGTCACTTTCCAAGTGTCTGCCCATGCAGCGCTGTTTTCTGCATGCCTTTTAATTTTGTTCTAAATAAAACTAGCCCGCCATTGTATGCATGCACAAATAAAACTAGCCCGCCAGTTGTATACATGCACAGCCTTGTGTAGTCTTTTTTAATATTTAATACTATATATATATATATTGGATCAGGTACGAAGTCAGAAATTTTGTTGAGGGAGTCGAAGATGCAGGGGCGGATTTAAAAGAAATTTTTAGTGAAGGCAAAACATTAAAAAAAAAAAAGAGATAATTTGAACAAAAAAAATTACCTAAGAAATATAGGTACAAATATTGTTGGATATGAGCAAAAAATAAAATACATCAAAACTTTATAAAATTCATAACAAAATATGAAACATAATTAATTTGATCAAAATAATTTGAATAGAAAACATAATATAAATTACACATACATCTCATTATTAATATATGTCATTATTAATATAAAAGAATGTTATATATATATATATGTGTGTGTGTGTTATTTTAAAAAACTATTAAAAACACAACTGAAGATTCAAACCCTTGACCTTCATTATAACCAAACACACACTTTGCTAACTAATCTAACTCACTTCTCATTAACATTCATTTGTTTTTTTATACAAATTAATACTAAAACCTATATATATATATATATATATATATATATATATATATATATATATATATATATATATATATATATATATATATATATATATATATATATATATATATATATATATATATATATATATAGATTTTGGATCCGGTGAGGTTACCTTTGTCAGGCGAGGTGGTGAGGCTATATATATAAAGGTTATATAAAGGTTATATATGGGGTGGGGGAGGGAGGACAGCTGCCCCCTGCCCTCCCCCTAGTTTCGTCCCTGCATATGGGAATAAGTTCTTAGGAGAAAATTAAGAACCAATTTTATTTGTACATCTGTAAAAATTGGATAGACCAGACCTGATTTTTTTTTTTTTTTTAAATGTGGTGGCATTTTTGTAATTATTACCAATTTTACTATGCAAACTTGAACACTAAAATCTATAATTTTCAGAATTTTTTAAGTTTGCACATTTAATACTAACATTTTGCACATTTAATATTAATATTTTGTACATTTAATAATAAAAGGTTGTACTTGTAAAAATGTGAAAGTACATTATGATGCAAAAATTTGTTAGTAACAATTCATATTTCAATTCACATTATGATAATTTAGCCTGTATGGACAACTCACTTAGTCACATGAGTGAAGTTTGAGAATAATAATCTGCGATCAAGTTTTACCAACGATAGTGTGAGAGCAACCTTTCAAAGTGAGGGAATTTCTTATACGAAGTAAGCTAAGATTTAACATTTATGATCAGTTAAATTACCATAATTTATATCGAGTCAAATAGTCTGTTGGACCGGGACGTGGCGAGAATCTTTGGGAACAATAATTTAGACATCTATTAATATAGATGGTGAGGCATTATTAAATTGCATGAAGATCAGATCATTTAATTAAATAAAGATTGCATGAACAGTATAAGACCCCACATTGGTCAATAAACTTTCTTACATGTCATAACGCACTCATTCTCTGTCTCAACATATTTTATGTGGAAAGGTACAAAACCATTAATTATTACAGAAAATTATTTCGACTAAACAATAATAAACGAAACCAAATTAATTGTAACATGAGACTATAAGGTAATCAGCAAATTAAAGCAAGCGATACGAGGGAACGGCAACTAAGTGCTGCACTTTTGGAGATGCCAAACCAAATGTCTCGGTCATGTCCAACTCGTGAGGGGACATCTTATTAGGCAGTTCCCAATTGAAACAATGCATCAACTGACCAACAATCAATTTAACGTTAATCAATCCCAAATTCACTCCGGGACATACCCTCCTCCCGTACCCAAACGGCAGGAGATGAAAGTCATGCCCCCGGATATCCACGCTCTTGCTCATGAACCTCTCGGGAAAAAACTCTTCCACGTTGTCCGACCAGATGCTGGGGTCGTGCCCGATTGCCCAACAGTTTATCATGACTCGCGATTTTTTGGGTATGAAGTGCCCGTTTAGCTCGATATCTTCCAACGACTCTCGGGGAACGAGCAACGTGGCCACGGGATGGAGCCTGAAGCTTTCCTTGATCACCATCTCCAAGTATTCCAAGTTTGGCAAGTCTTTCTCCTCCACCATTCGGTTCAGTCCCACTTTGTTCTCCAGCTCTTCTTGGAGAAGCTTCATCACCCTGGGATTCCTCATGATTTCTGCTAGAGTCCACTCGATCCATGCGTACGAGGTATCCACGGATCCTACGATCATGTCGAAGAGAAGTGCTTTAATGCTTGCCAAGTCAAGCTTGTGGGACGATGAAGGGTTCTTCATGGAGGCCAGCATCATATCTACAATGTCCTTATTGCTCTTTTGTACACCATTTTTTGCATCTTGTTCATGCTCTTTGACGATTTCTAAAAATAGTTTATCAACTGATTTTCCAAGTGCCCTAAGTCTCTTGTTCAAGCCCTGAAATTAACAATTTTGCGTAGTTGAATTAGAGATAAACTAGTCTAGATTGCTGATCCGCTTAAACCAAAAAGGTCAATAGACAGCTGGCATAGGGAGTTAAATTTGAAACCATATGATTATCATGGTTGCAGTAGACGTTAGGCGCTAGTCCGGCGCTAGAGCGTAGCGACTAGACTGCCTAGGCCCCGCCTATGCGGCTAACTAAAAAAAGACAGTGCACATGGGTGAGTGTATATATGTCATGTTACACGGGCACACATCAAATTCGGCCAAGTTAGGCACTAGGCGATTGCCTAGTCGGCCGAGTTAGGCGCCTAGGGCAGAAATCGCGACGGTCTAAGGGCGCATAGGCACTAGGCTGTTGCCTAGTCGGCCAAGTTAGGCGCATAGGCGGCCGATCAACTGGGCGCCTAGGACAGAAATCGCGACGGTCTAAGGGCGCATAGGCACTAGGCTGTTGCTTAGTCGGCCGAGTTAAGCGCCGCCTACAGCAGAAATCACCACGGTTTAAGGGCGCATAGGCGGGGCCTAGACTGATTTTTGAAAAGGTGATGATGATTATCAAATAACTAACTAATTGGCTGGTTGTCCCAACGTGTAACCAATTTGTTACCTGAAGATCAAATGGCTTTAGAAAGGGAAGATAGTCTGCAATATTGAAAGCTCCGATCAACGACACAATCTCTTGAACGATGAGTTTCAAGTCATGGTTATCATTGTTACTAGTCCCAAACAGCATTTTGTATGTAACGTTCTCAATCAACCTCCCCACCTCCGCCGTGAGATCCACCGCCTCCCGGCCGCCGGCTGCCGCCTCTATCGACTTCACCCACGCTACCATCTCCCCCCTCCGCAAATCCCCGAACGACTCGATCTTCGCCGCGGTGAGAAGCTCCTGGGTCGCAAATTTCTTATTCCCCCGCCAGTGAGGCCCGTACGGCGCAAACGCCATCCCCTTCGACCCGTCGGCGATGTTTTTCACCGCGTCGTTCTTCGGCCGGCTGGCAAACACGGCGTCGTGGGTCTTAAGGATCAGCTCCGCGGCGGCCGGCGACGAAACCACCACCGCTGGCACTTTCCCCAGCTTCAAGTACATTATGGGGCCATATTTTTTTGACAGCTCGTTAAGGTTCCGGTGCGGGAGAGTGCCCAGCTGGTGGAGGTTTCCGATGATAGGAAGCGGACGTGGCCCCGGCGGAAGTTTCCGGCCACTTTTCGACGACTCTTCAGCCCTCCGGTGACGGAAGAACCACCAAAGGGTTGCCAGAAATATGGAGAGAAGCGCTAAACCAACAGAAGACATTATTAATGATACGATATTCTCGTACTTGACAGCAATACAAGATTACGTTAAGTTGTTCCTGTGTTTGATAGCCCTAATTCCCTCCCTCTCACTATATATATAGATGAAAGGAAGCAACCATTTTTGAAATTTGGAGTATCTGTTGAAACCAAAAAAACTTTTCGTAGTATACAATGAAGAGAATGTACAATGAAACTAATACTACTTTTAATATAATTTTGAAATATATAAATTTTATATAATAATATTAGGTGGTCTAGTGGCACGAGATGACTTCCCGATCATGACTTTAGTAAGTTAAGAAAGTAATTATGAACATATAATATATTAGAACAGAATCAGTAATACTCACAAAAAAAAACTTCATTAATCAAATCAAACACATGCAACTGACAGAAAATAAGACTACTTTTGTACTTATTTCATTTAAAAACTCTTAATTCTTTTTATATATATTTCCAAATAAAAAAGATAGCCTGCCAAGAGATTGATTTTGGCACATGCTCATCCAAGTACTTGCCGAGAAATAGTATGGTTTTTTAAGAGACTAGCACACCGTTTTCTAACAAAGAATATTAATTACGTAACAATAATATAAAAAAAACAAAATCACATATAATCTGACAAAGAAGATAATATATAAAACAACATCACATATAATACGAAAAATTTTACTATGTTGATTAGTATTATAGTATGTATCATATACAATTATTACTATTTTAATGATTTTGGTTTAACCATAAGTTATATATATATATAGGGTCAGGTTCCTATGAGAACATGTCTTCCCGTGCGGTCAGTGCGGTATACACCATTAGGTATGCATAAATGCACCACAGAGTGTTCGAAAATACACCATTATGTGTGGTGTATTTTTTTTGTGTGGTGCATTTTTTGAAATTTCATTCTGGTGTATTCTCAAACACTGTATAGTGCATTTATGCATACCTAATGGTGTATGCTGCACTGACCGCACGGGAATACCTGTTCTCACAGGAACCAAAATCTATATATATATATATATATATATATATATATATATATATATATATATATATATATATTTCATATTATTTCTCCAAAGATAAACACTTTCCACACAAGAATACAATTTTCTCCAGAATATATAATTTTCTCCAAATACACTTTTCTCAAAAATACAATTTCTCCACAGATAAACACTTTCCACACAAGAATACAATTTTCTTCATAATATATAATTTTCTCCAAATACACTTTTCTCAAAAATACAATTTCTTTCAAAATACAATTTTCTCCATATGATTTGTCCAAAATCATTTTTACTCAACAATATAAAGGTAATACAAAATTCACCACATGTATATACACTAAAATTTTCCAAGCCAACGATTTACACACACAGGGCTCGACACGTCGAAGCTCATTCTCGATATTTCGAGAATCACCACACAATAGTACCATTTATCGATAAATGCACTCATGTCCACATTAATAGCACATATCATATAATAGCAATACATATAATACTCGGGAATATATATATATATATATATATATATATATATATATATATATATATATATATATAGTATTATTGATAGTAAATTATATTGGTCCGTAGAGATTAAAATTTTTCAATATAATGTTTGAAGGTGATGATATGAAGCAAGGTAGCTTGTTAGTATTGACTATTTGACTCCTTGGAGGGTAGCTATCAGGCGATTTTAATAAAATATTATCCCAGGCCTTATATGTACTAATTAAATATTTTGAAAGTGATATAAAGCAAGCTTGCCAGTATTGACTCCTTGGCGAGTTGGCGGCTAGCTATCGGGTCTTTTTATTATATTTAATAAAACATTATCCCACGTCTTATACTAATTAAATTTTTATATTCGTTTTAGCAGGCAATAGTTACTCTTTTATTTCATTTTTGTCCTAGATTTATAGATGACAATTCACTTTTAGTCATTTTTTATTAGAATATTCGTATTTTGTCTTAGTATTATTGTAGCATGATCACTTTGACAAAATCGTTGAAATGTTATTAAATACAAAGACATTTTAATCTTTTTTATACAAAGTAGGTTGAACCGCTATATTATTTATGTTTATTTATTTGAAAAAATCTATAATTGAAAACTGAAATGTCCTTGTTAATGATTTTTAAACTATTTTATTGATAAAGGACAAAAAATATAATACTAGGATCAAAAGTGGATGTTATAATAAAAAAAAAAAAAAAAAAGACTTAAATGGATTGTCACTTATAAATCTAGGACAAGAAATTGAATTAACTCATATTCAATTTACTCTTTTATTATAGTAGTTTTTTCTCGATTTAATTCTAAATAACTTTATCCTTAATTGGGTCATGAACTTTGAAGGTTTTATTTAATTGAGTCCTCTATCAAATTTTCTGTTTGTTGACTATTAGACTAAGATAATATGGTCTAATGGTACTCGGGTTGGATTTTTATTTGGAAGGTTGTGAGTTCAAGCCTCAGTGGAGGTAGTTGGTGATTAAATTAGACAAAACTATAGTGGATAACTAAGTTGGGTATTGACAAAGAAAGTATTACAAAAAAACTTTTTGAATTATATGAAGAAAAATCATTATAATCGATATTAGATATAAGATATTAACTCATTACAACCTTTCCGAATCGTATCTATCTACTATACTAATAAGAGTCCAAGAGAGTTAGACCTATAATGGGTAGAAAAAATGGCGGTCAAATTAGTCGTGCTTACTTTTCGTCCCTAAAATATACTCCGTAATTGATGTTGCAAATTTCGTCCCTTTACTAACAAAACATTAGGAACGAAGTATAGCTTAGAAAGGAAGAGTGACCGCAACTTGTTATTAAAATGACGAAATTTACAACGTCAATTATAGCTTAGGGACGAAAAGTGAACATGACCAACAATTATGGACGAATTCTACAATTATTTAATAACTTAGGGACGAAAAGTGTAACTTTCGAGTTCATTTAATATATAAATAATAGATTTTTTTTTTTAAAGGAGGGGGGCCAAAAGTGTAATTTATCCATATTATAATAATATAGACCTATATATTTACTAAAAATGTGGGGTGGGGGTGGGGGTGGGGGGCCAGGACCCCCCTTGGAGTAGGGGTGGCTCCGCCCCTGACGCTCCCTCAATAGCAATGTCCTTGTTTGGTAAATACTCCGTAATTATTAACTGATAGATGTTTGCTATTAGCTTATTAGGTTAATTAAAAGATATCACTAGTTGATAACATTAGTTGATTGTAGAAAATTGTTTAGTAAATTAACTATTAGTTGATAGTTTTTTGGAATGATTTCTTTTTTAAAAAGACTAATTGAAAAAGTTACTTTGAACAGATTTTTGAATTTTAACATTTTGAAGTTACAAAAAGCTAACTACCAAACACTTATATTGATTTTTTAATCAAATCAAACAATTAATAGTGGTCAAATAAATTAAAATTAGCTGATAAACTAACTATTTTACAAAACAGGCCAAAGTTTCTAAGAGCATCCCTATCAGTAGTTTATTTGGGGTTATTGGAACTATAAATGGAGATGTGGAGGAGAGAGAAAATGGAGAGAAAGAGTAGTTTGAGTTCTTTTGCAAAGGATGAATATTGAAACAGTATTTTTTTTTTTTTGAAATTATCACTTAAAGTGCACGTTTGCACGCGCCCGGTAGTGTGTCAGGCACGCTGACAGCGCACCTGACGCATTGTTTCTTTATTATTATTATTTTTTTTTTATTTTTTTTCTCCTCACTCCCATATTCTCTTTTCTAATCACATTTACAAAAACTTTTCAAAAATTGCAAAAAAATCTCTACTACTATGGATGCTCTAAAATAAATTCTGTAGTAGTAGGTTGAAGCAGCGGTAGTTTTTCGCAATAGTACAGGAGGTTCTGGCCTCAATGAACACGTACTCAACCCAACTCAACATTTCAGGCTATGACAAATTTTCCAATTGTCAGGTTCACACATCGATATTTATAAATTTTATCAATCAACAATTAATCAAAATATATTTGATAATTAATTAAACAAGTTAATTATCGAAATGATTTCTTGACTATAACGAAATTATCAATTTGGTTATTGACTATTTTTTTTGACCAATTAAGTCACTCAACTTTAAAAATCTTAACCAGTTTGGTCCTCCGATTATTTGGTTGTTAGACATCCGTTAATTTAGGACTACATTGGTAATTTTGCTATAGTCAAGACATCATTTCGGTAATTAATTTTTGTAGGAAATTGTACATGTGATGACCGAAATGGTTCATTGACTATAGCAAAATTACCAATTTGGTCCCTAGTTAGCGAATGTCTAACGGCAAAACAAAAGAAGGACCAACTTGGTTAAGATTTTTAAAGTTGGGGAACTTAATTAGTCAAAAAATAGTCAATGAACAAATTGGTAATTTTGCTATAGTCAAGAGACCATTTGATAATATGTTTTGAAATGAAAAAAAAAAAAAAAAAGTCCTCGGATGATCTATCACTTTGTGAATGTTGTGCACTAAATAAGTACAATTTTACTAAACGCATTATTGAATTTATTTTTATAATATCTCTATTATAATATGTATTCTTATTATTAAAGATTAATTATGTTTCAAAAAAAATACTATTACACGAAATATAAAATAAATTTAATAGTGTGTATATATATATAAACAATTATGCATGGAGTACATTATTTCTATATATAGGATACATTATTTTTATACATAATGTTCATTATTTGAATTTGTATAAAATAATATAAAAACAACTTGATGATTTATTATTTATATGCATATGGTTCACTATTTTTCTATGATCATTATTTATATGCATAAAATTTACTATTTGTATGCATAATTAAAGTTCACTATTTGTGTGATGTGCTTTGATGCATGGTCTAAAGTAAAGACAAGTTTTGACTCAATCAGTCCTTAATGCCATTCCCTGGTATGCAATGCAAACCATGTTGTTACCAAAAGGGGTTTGCGATGCAATTGACAAGACCACGAGGAACTTTTTATGGAAAACAAGCATGGTCAATTGGGACACA